AGCTCTCCAAGAATCCATAGCTCCTTTCTTATGACCCTGGAAACATAGTCTGTACTTTCTGGGTTAACAGTAGCACTATGGATACTGGCTGATCACAGCTAGGTGAGGCACCAGGAGGAACTGACAAAAATGTACTCCTCAAATTATTGAGAGAAAGGAACAGCCACAGATCCTGGAAACTGGTCAGAAGAAGGGCAGAAGCAAAACTCGGAAGAAGTTTAGAACAGCCTAGAGATGGATGGACTGGTTTCAAGAGGAGGCTGAGGATCTAAGCTGCCCAGAATAACTTTCAACCTAAGATAAGTGGGAAAGAAAAATCAGACTAATAAAAGTAAACTAAGATAATACATGCTCTGGAGCTAAGAGATATGAGGTAAAACTCTAACCTGACATATGACTGGTAAGATTAAAAACAAAGAAGGAGATATTTCAGAGCTAAAAGGACCCAGGCTGTTACTGACCAGGCCAAATCTCTAACTATGTGTCTTTTCAAGGAGACTGTGCACCCTCTACTGCAGATCTGCTTGCCTTACACTTAGCAGTGAAAAGAGGGTAGACAGGGCTAGCTACCCTTTGCTGGGCTTCTGCAAACCAGGGCTCAGGACAGACCCTACCATCAGGTACTGGTGCTACCAAAGAACTATGGTTTGTTCAGGACCCAACAGAGCTAGCGTTAAAGTCTCCTACAACCTTTTCTCCATGAAAACAAGTGGCATGGGAGGCAGAATTGGGATTGGGAAGGAAGGAAATGGAAAGGGCCCCCAAAGAGCGGAGTTGGAGTTTATCAGTAAAGAGCCTCAAGGAACCTGATGCTCAGAGGACATCTGCTTTCAGAGGGACATCATTTAATTCTCTACACATATGTATAGTTTGGGGAAGAGCTGGATTACAGAAGTTAAAAACAGAATTTAGAGTCAAGATTTGAGTCTGAGGTACAGCTTTCAACTGATCTGTGACTTTCTGGATTTCAGTCGCTTTATTTCAAAAGCAGAAAATAATGGCACTTACATCATGTTTTATGAAGATTAAATGAGACAAGTGCTAAACCCAGAACCTGCACAGTAAGTGTTAGCTGAGTTTCTTGTCAGATTAGTCACCAACTGGCTGCCAGATTGTGATCTCCGGTTTCATGGGACCAGGGATCAGAGAAGGACCCCGAATAAGTGACGGATGAGCAAAACAAGGAAAACTAACTTGAGATGACAAATGTCCACACACTGGAAAATTCCACTTGAGGGGGTTGAGAGGTAAATAAATAGTCTATATTTTCTGCCTATCATAAAAAGGAATAAATATATCTTAAGGTGGGATGACATATTTATAAGGCCTGTAAATACTCTCAATCACTCTGGATATTGATTTTTTAAAAACTCATTATTATAATGTAATCTCTCCAGTTTATTGTGTGAGCAATTATAACAACCACTTGTAGAATGATTTGGCAAAGTCCCACCGCACTGTCCTTTGATTCTCCAAATGACAAGGTAAGCAAGGCAGAAAGCGACAGTAGTGCACACACACACACCACACACACACACACACATATCTGCAGCTTTGTACACAGCATCATCTACACGGAAGTGAAATTACTTGCCCGAGACCTGAGGAAATATTGTGTTATCAAATTTAGCTAAAAGGGGACAACTTTGAGCTGCTGCCCCTGAGAAACATCACATATATCTGGAGAGCTGCAGGTCAAGTCCAACGGCAGTCACATCCACTATCACCACCAAAGAAAACAATGTCCCAGGTGGGAGGCTGAAAGACAAAGCAAAGAGTCCGGAGAGTAGAAAGAATACATTGACCAGGGGTAAAATGAAGGGTAGTTATCTCAGGTTGAGAATATCTATTAAAATGTTTAATGTTCCTAAACTCTAATTTAGCATTCCCTTTCTCTAAATCTGTTCTACATCATAAAAATTCTCTCATAAGTGCACCAACCCAATTGTTGTAACAGTTCAAGGGGACATTATGAATAGTAAAACCCCAATCTTGTATACTGTATAATGTTTAAACAGACCTATGAAGAGAAAAAACTTTTATATACACAACTCTAATTCTCTGATAAATAAAATTAAGAAATTTTCACCTTTTTAAGTATAGAATAAATATGTATCAATATTTGAATACAATATAAAGGTAAATATGGGAGTTACTCCATTCCTCCGATCTTATTTCAGGCAACAGCACACGCATAAACACACCCATCACAAGGTATAAAAGAGATACTTTTCTTTGCAAAATAAGGATTATTCTGTGTGCACTGCTCTGTAACTTGCTTTTGTCACTTAAGAAAATATCACAGACAGTACAGTAAAAATTATACCCAAGCTCAGCAAGAAATAGCCCCAACTTTGCCATCAGATTCCCTGAATTGAAATTCCAGCTCTACCACTAACTACAAAATGTATAGTAAATTATGTAACTTTGCTAAACACTATCTGTAAAATGGGAATAATAATAATAAAAGTGCCTGTCTCTTGGATTTTGGAGAAAATAAAAATGCAAAGCACTTGGCTCAGTGTGTGGCATGCATTGGGTGTTAATAAACATCAGCTGACAAGGGATATTTTGCTTCCTTAGAGATGGTATGATATCAAGCTTAAGAATATACTAACTACAATACAATAATTAAACTATTTGTGAAAATTTCAGTTTCCTTTGTGAATCATTTTGTTTTGCTTGATATTACAAGTGATACTAAACTAAAAATATGTACATTTATCTTTGCATTTCACAAACAACTATTTCTAAAGAATAAATTTCCTTAAATGAAATTATTGGATAAAATGATATAGTTTCCAATGCTTGTACAGAGAATGAAAAGTCCTACATTGTTTTCAAATTATTGAATTGATTAAATCAGTTGATTGAGTCAGTTTCAATTGATCCATTGATCCCAGAATCCCATAACCAGTATATGTAAAAGTATATTTTCCTTTCTATATTGTGATATACATATCCAATCTGGTGAAAATTATAGTTCAGTCCTGTTTCTGCTTTCTGCTTATCAATGAGGTAGAATATCTTATCATATGTTTTCTTTGTAACTATGTTGTAGACATTTTCTAAAAGTCAATGGTTTATATTTTAAGTTTGCTTATGATGTTTAGATATGACTTTCAAATTTTTCAGTACAATATTTTGTCACTGTTATTTCTACATTTTATTTCTTGCTTGGATTAATGCCTCCATCCTGAAACCCTAAAAATCAACTCCTTACTTTTTGGCTAAAACTTATAGTTATTTTTTACTTGCAGTTTATTTATCTAAATTTTACTTCCATGTGTAGGTTAAATAGAAGTCTAGCTTTATTTTTTCCAAATAGTCAACTAATTGTCATAAACAGCATTAATACTCCAATCTTTGTCCATCACTATAAACAAATCATTATTATATATTAAGCTCCTTATAGGTAACATTCTCCACCCATTTATAGAACCCTTTATGGCTGTCTATTGATTTTTTTCTCTATATGCATCATTATCTTATTTTTCAAATTCTTATGTGCTTTGATTTGAAGTTAAAATTTTCTCTCATTAAACTAATTTTTTAAAATTATCTCCTCCATCCTTAGCACTTATTACTCAAAATTAAAACAACCTTCTCAAATTCATAAAAGAAATTCCCTTTGCCTGGAAATGATCAAGATATATTGTGTTCATGTAACAATTCCCCTCCAAAAACATTGCTATTCTGTATTTAAAACATACACTAATTTTTAAAAAGGAAAATTCTCTTGGAGTCTTATTAGAGATGTATTGAATTTTATTAATTTGAAAAAATTAATATTCTTAAATATTAAGATTTCTGTTTTAGTAGCACCTCTATTCAGATTTTTATTTTGCATTGTGTTACACTTTTTCAGCTAGGTATTACTCATTTTTTCCCTTCAGGGCTATTTCTAAGTGCTTTTATACTTTCTTGCCCTTGTCACCTGAAATTTTTTCCAAGTTAGATATTTGTAATGCATGAGCTATATTAATGTTTTTAGATTTATCTTGTATCTGCACACTTTGGTGAAAACTCCATAGGTTTTTTAAAGTTTCCCAATTATTATCTTGGATTTTCTAGGTAGAAAATCATGTCACTAAAAACATAATACTTCATCTTCTACAATGCTTATGCCTTCTATTTCCTTAGTTTTCCTTTTTTGCTGCTTTAGGGTGCCCTTTGAGCAATGTAGCTTAACAGTGCTAATAGGAGCCATTCTTGCCTAGTTTACAAGACGTTGGTGGGAACCTGACCCTTACATAGTAAAGACTTATACTCTTGTAATATTTTAATATTTACAGTGAGTAGTTTTACAGTCAAGAAAACTAGTATATTTGAAGAACAAATCACAGTGAGATAGACTATTCTTCACAATACGCATTTTTGATGACATTCCTGGACTAAAGCTTATAGTTAAAGTGCACAGATTATATTAGCCAAGCAAAAATGGTGAAATAAATATTAAGCAGATTTATTCTGATGACCAAAGAAACTCTGATCTAAATTCTGTGGGTACTACAGAACATTACTTAATTCTGAATAGTGTCATTTTGTACTATCACCATTATAATCACCACTTTCAGAACAATGGGGAGAAGATTCTGAGTGAAAGAACTTTACTAATAAGGAATACTCAGAACATCCTGATTCAGTGTGAAGCATCCTGATTCAAAGTGAGACCCACCAACTTCTTCCTCTAGGACAATAATTTCCAAAAAGAATGTCTAGAAACAGAAAAGAACAACTCAGATCAATTAGGGGGCATAGATGCTGCTAAACATGCACGGAAAACTTTTCAGTTTGTAATTTAGGAGGCAACATGTACTTGCAGCTTTGTAACTGTATCTTTCTTAAATATATCCACCTATGTGCTTCTTTGAACTTTTGGAAAGTGAGCACATTTTTAAGTGTTAACAAATGGTACTGTGCTTTTTTCATAGCCTTGAAGGTAGGGAAAAACCTACCGTGATTAATTTGTTCTTCACATCTATCCCATGACTTCAAAACTGTCCAGAGACATGGAGATCAAGAACCACAGCAGCAGTACCTCACCCTTCATCCTCCTGGGCCTCTCTTCCAACCCACAGCTGCAGAAGCCACTCTTTGCCATCTTCCTCTTCATGTACCTGGTCACCATAGTAGGGAATGTGCTCATCATCCTGGCCATCCACTCTGACTCCAGGCTCCACACCCCTATGTACTTTTTTCTCAGCAATTTATCCTTCATGGACATCTGCTTTACAACAGTCATTGTGCCCAAGATGCTGAGGAATTTACTCTCAGACACAAAGGCTATCTCCTACGTGGGCTGCCTGGTTCAGATGTACTTCTTCATGGCCTTTGGTAATACTGACAGCTACCTGCTAGCCTCCATGGCCATTGACCGGCTGGTGGCCATCTGCAACCCCTTCCACTATGATGTGGCTATGAGCCCACGGCGTTGCCTCCTCATGCTGTTGGGTTCATGTACCATCTCCCACCTGCATGCCTTGTTCCGGGTGCTACTCATGTCTCGCCTCTCTTTCTGTGCCTCCCATGTCATTAAGCACTTTTTTTGTGACACCCAGCCTGTGTTAAAACTCTCCTGCTCTGACACATCCTCCAGCCAGATTGTGGTCATGACTGAGACCCTGGCTGTCATCGTGACCCCCTTCCTGTGCATCCTCTTCTCCTACCTACGAATCATCATCACTGTGCTCAGAATCCCCTCTGTAGCTGGCAAGTGGAAAGCCTTCTCCACCTGCGGCTCCCACCTCACCGTCGTGGTGCTCTTCTACGGGAGTGTCATCTATGTCTACTTTAGGCCTCTGTCCATGTACTCGGTGGTGAAGGACCGGATAGCCACAGTTATGTACACGGTGGTGACTCCCATGCTGAACCCTTTCATCTACAGCCTGAGGAACAAAGATATGAAGAGAGGTTTGAGGAAATTAAGGGACAGAATTCACTTATAGAAAGAACAAAATTGTACAGTATCATAAGTGAGAGATGACCTAAGAGTTATCAGGTTAAGCTTTCTTCCTATGCACTTTCCCCATGACACTCAAAAATGTCACAAAAGGTGATGCCAGATACCATTAAAAGCCTGGAGATGGGAACCAAACACTTGATTTCTGTCAATGACCTGGACCACAAACCAATGAGGGAATGAAGGTTTTGTACACATAACACTTCTATAACGATGACAGTGAATAGTAGTCAAGGAGTTAAAAAGTCTTATTAATTCTCAGAAGAAGAATCTACATAGATTTCATAAGGAATTAGAAAAGACTTCATAGAGGAGTAACCTAAAGTCATCCCAAAGTACACACTTAACAATTGACAGAGGAAGCTTCAAAAGATGAAGACACTCTAAGGCATTTCAAAGAGTGGAAAATATCCAAGTATATAAGGTCGGTAAATGTTGGAATATTTTTGAGGGACAGAAAAAAATGTCCTGTGAGCCTTGTTCAGTTCGAGAGTACAGAAAATGAGGCTGGACAGATGAAGTACAAAAAGTGTTTATTCCGCCACTTATACCAAGTGTCAGGATGTTGTGGACTCTCAACACTCACTTCTCTGTCCCTTCCTATTTAATTCTTCCTTTCTCCAAATCCAGCATCCTCACTAAGCTGCCCTTCACATTCAGGAGACAGCAATGTGTACTGGGAAGTCTAGGTGAGGTTTGCTGTGGAAATCAACAATCTCGAAGTCTCCGTACCTTAATACCAAGGATTTACTTGTCATTTATATGACATGTCCATGTAAAAGTATAAGGGTGATGAAACACTAGGTAACCCAAGGTTATGGAACAGCCACCACTGTAAACATTAGTCATCATTCTGTCCGAAGCTGAGAAATACTCGTGAATATTTTATGCTTCCAATGAAATACTGTAGTCCAGGTGCGAGCCACACACGTCTGATCAGAATCTATTGTCCAATTCAAGCACAGAGATCCAGGAGGCACAATCCAGTCATATGTCAGAAGTATTTAGTGAATGATATTAATGTCTACTACACAGCTATAAAGCACACAAAGGCAACAATGTCATCAGTTGTTTCATCATTTCTCCCTGCTTGTTACTGTCAGTAACAACAGTAATGTAAGATTTATACTGACTCTGGATCCTTCTACCTCAAACATTTCAGGTTTCTCATAACCACTAGCTTTATGGGTAGCAAGCTTGTTAATGACAGGACCTGGTGCTGAATACAGGACTTTTCACCTTAAGGATATAGAAAGATGTGTGATGTTGAATGGAACATAGGGTTACGTAGAGTCCAACAAGGTTCCAGCCACTGCTTTCACATTTCCTCTTCCATTAATCAAAGAGTAACCAGCAAACCAGGAAGGAAACCCAATGTGCAGTAGCCTCTATATTTATACAGGTACACCGGTTACTTACCACACAATATCCCACCTATCACTTGGTTTGGGATATGCTGGATTAGAAGATATGTACTATTTCCAGTTATTCTCCTATGTGTCACAGTTTTCTATCCTCAGTTCAGTACAGTAACCCACTTTAGAATGTGAGGAAAGTCTAGTATATATTCAATAAATGAATTAATTAATGATGGTCTCAATTAACTTCAAAAAATAATTCAGTCCTTTGGTCCGAAGAAAAGTACCTTGCCTTTTAGTTCTAAACTTACTCTGCCATCAGCCCCAGACTTTTTAAAGTTAGTTCATGTAATTTATTTCCATTAGAAAAAATAGATATATTTCTTTATAGCTGTGTTTACATACATATTTGTTGTACATAGTTTTGAACAAATACATATACATTTTTATCTTATTTTAATATTAAAGATGGTATATAGTATTATTAGTACATGCTTGCAGTACATAATGAATACATACACCATCGGGAGTTTGTACATGTACATATCTCATCTTTATCCTTTATTTTTGTACCAGGAATCGAACTCATGACCTTAGACTTACCAGGCAAGCACTTATGCCACTGAGATTCATCCCCAGCATCTTTATCCTTTTTACTTCCCCTTTATTTTATTTCGAGAAGATTCTCACTATGTTTTCTAGGCCAGCCTCAAACTTGCAATTGTCCTGCCTCAGCTTCTCACATAGCTGGGATTACAGGAGTGCACCACCACTCTTGGTGAACGTATTCTTATCCTTGAGCTTATTTAATTCTTCAGTTAGCCATCTCTAGCTTACTGGTTCTACCAAATACAAGCTATAAGTAAAAAATATAAAATTCACATAAGTTATGAACTGTCTCAAATGGCAACTACTCAGCCTGACTAGATTCCAGGAGTCTTCACTCCCAGGATCTTTTCCATGGAATCACAACACCCTCTCCCCTACTGCTGCCACTGCTGCCAACCTCCCAAGACCAAACCTTCTCTACTTAAGTGTTTCATTCTCTTTCAAACTGAAGATGATAACAAGCCACTAATTGTCTGAGATCTGAAGAACCTTGTTAATCCTAATATTCCACAGCCTCTTCTCTTTGCCCATGCCTGCATTCTTAATGAGTTCCCTGGGGTTAGTGAGTGGAAAGACAGACTGTCTCCTTAGGATGCGGTGATCTGAAGAACAAGCATCTCCTTCCAGGTCCCCACCCCTTCCTCATCAGTTGGTGAAACCGGAAGTGGTTAGTGATGGCAGCCCGAGATGGAGAAAGGGCGCATGCTCCTCATACCTGGGGTGACATTTGAAAGACGATCATCACAAAGGAAGAAAGGGAACTGGCTGAGATGACAATCATACACACACAACTCCCAGGAAATAGTGAATCCGGTCACCTCCCACATCAAGCTTGGGTTCTTTCCTTCTCCGCCTAATATGAGAGCTCTACTCTTCTCCCTATGCCCCACCCCACTCCTCTTCTAATCACAGAAGTCCATGAAGCTGAGGAGAAGATGGCTGCACCCTCAGATGGCCACCCAGGTGGTCACCAACCCTTTTCTCAGTAAGTAGTTATTATTTTTAATCCCATCTCTATACTGAAATCCTGCAATCCCAGAGCATTAGAAACTGAGAAATTATTTTGTATGATCCTCTTTTTAGAAGTATGGAATCTGAGGCTCTGTATAGCTGAGACTATAAACTAAATCATCTGCCTATACTAGTTAAACTTCAAGCATCCTGCCTAAACTTCTAGCAGAATAATCTCCACACACTTTTCTTTCTCTTCCATTTGCATAGCACAGGGAGGATTTGTTAGTGGTGAGTATATTTCACAAAAAGGGGTTCTTTGTAACTGCCCTGATTCACAGTCCAGCTCTGGTTGATCCTAGAGCCATGCCCGCTTAGCAAAGCTCCAGATTCTCTGTCCTCAGCCCAACCTCTGGACATCTTCAAGCAGCATGGACATAAAACCACACATAGGGCCTGGGGATTTAGCTCAGCGGCAAAGCGCCTGCCTGGCAAGCGCAAGGTCGTGAGTTCGGTTCCTGGTACCGGAGAAAAACCAAAACCAAAAACAATAAAAATAAAAATAAAACCACACATAAGGTGATGAGGGAAGAGAAAACTTCTGATGAGGCCTGGCTTGTCATGCCACTTCCACTGATAATTTGTGATGGCCCCTTTCTGAGCTTTGATTTTTCCCTTTTTTTTTTTAATTTTAGAAATAAAAGGAGGAAAATACTAACAGA